CGTTTGCTTCCAGGTGAGCGTGGAGGTTCTCGAGTTTCCCCCGTTGCCACCGTCGCCCGTCGAGGAAGCGGACGAGGAAAGTTCCGACGTTGGTCAGACCGCCGCGATCGTCCCAAAGACGAAAAATCATAGCAATCGAACGATGGAATACAGGCCTAGGGTGCCACCGCATCGCGCACCTGTTGCTAATCACACCTCCTTCTCCGATGCGAAGGATCAACAACCAACGCCTCTCAATACCAGATCCATGGACGCTGGATTCTCTCGGGGTAAAAGAACACCTACCGTCACCAATTCCAGACGAGAGGTGCGTCCCACGAAATTTTCAACCAAGCTGATTTATCGTGTGTCAGGCGAAAAGATATACCTAATAACACATTGTGACGTGCACAGCTGAGAGTCTCGCTCGTCACGCGACACCTGACTTGAACTCTTGAACGTTTTCGTTACCTGTCGTTTACCAAATATTTGGAAAATTTTCAATCGTTCATTTTCATAAATTCGGCCAATTGTGTTTGTTACGAAAAAAAAAAAAAAAAAATACATCTAACTGGATCGTTATATACTTGCTACACGTAGCAAAATACGTTTCTTCTATTTTGAAGCACTGTACTGTAAGTACATGGAAGAAAACCGAAACTACATTTCGCATAATGTTGTATATTTTTCTAGCTTCCAAGTTTTGATCTCGGGTATTTAAAACATTGATATTGATTGTAATCATAAAGATCTGATACGAGATTTTTAGAGAAATCTTTTTCTTACCGTCGTGTATACATGTTTATGTATTTATGTGGCTCTTCAAGTATACCGTAGGTTATACCTAGGAAACCTAGAAAAGATATTTAGGTTTCCTAGTTTTGAAGATTCACGATTTGATATCGTTGATCCTCACGTGCTACGATGAAAACAACGGTGAATCATTACTATCGGTGTTACCGTCGCTGTCGTCGTTACTATTCGTATCTATAGCGATTTGTTTCTCGTAGCAAATACCTGTAGAACGAAGGACTCTGCCTACGGACTTGCCTGGACCCTCGCGACGACGACCCTTTACCAAGAGACACTCGCCATCGGCAGAGCCGTGTTCCTCTGTTGGAAATGGCGGATGTTCCGGCAACAACACTAGCGCCAACAACGGAGCCAACAACGGAGCTTGTAGCAGCAGCAGCAGTGCAGGAATCACCGGTAACATTGTGACCGGTACAAGCGGAATGCAAACCTCTTGTTCGCTTCCAGAGACGCCTGTTTTCGCTCGGGGAAGCGACATCCCGAGAACTCCTCAGCACGCTAGCAATCCCACGCAGATGCGTCGACAACCGGGTTGGTACGCGCCAACTACGGCTACCACCGGGTAAGAATATCTCCATTTCGATGGAATTGAAATTACCGATTTTAACTACTGAGAGCAGTAGTAGTCTCGTGCGTATCCGTCTCTCTTTCGCAGTAAATCTGAAAGAACATGCGTATGTCTAGTTGCCGTTTGCCAAGAAAATATATTAAGCGCCGAGTAAAGCGGCGTGATTGTCAAAAACGATGCGTTTCTAATTTACAAAAAACGCTTCGCACAGACCTTGTTATCATCACTGAACGTGCATTCGTAATTTCGCTCGAGTTTATATACAT